GGAGACCCCCGCTAGGGGGCGCGCTCTGGCCGTGGCGCGGAGCCGAGCCGGAGAGGGGGGCTCCGCTGCGAGGACGGCGACAGCGGGGGTCGGCATGGGCCTCCGGACTGACGCCGGCGTTGGGTCCCTTGCTGCTCCTGACGTGAGCTCCTACCCATGCCCCCTACACACACCCCAAGTCCGGGGGCGCCAGGAGCAGCAGCTACAGAATAACGGTGGCTGCACCGGGGACGCCCCGACCCTGGACGCACCCAGGGTCCCGCCGTCCCGCGGCGTTGGAGAGGAGAAGCCAGATGGTGGCGATTACAGGGCGCCGAGAAGTTTCCCTCTCTGGTCTGGAAACCTGGGGAACGGTGCGGCAGGAGATGGGGCGGGAGGGAGGAGAGGTCCCGCCGAGGGACTCTGGGTGAGAGCCCAAACACTTGCTTCTCGCCCCTGAGAAGGGGGCACCTTCCGCTCCTCCCCCTCCTCCCCCGCCTTCCGAGGGCAGACGTGAGCTGCGGCCGGCTCGCCTGGCTTTGTGCACAGAGCAAGGCTAGAAAATGCCTCGGTTGGCCGCCTGAGGGGATGATTGCGGTGGGGGGTGGGGTCTGTTTTCTCTCTAGTTCTCGCTCCCCACCCCCTTCCCTGCCTGCGGAAGGATAACCAAAAGTGGCGAAGTTTGCAAATAAGGGGAGCTGTCCTAACGCAGTGATGACACCCACACGTCCGTACCTTGAGGGCTCGGTCGGCCGCGGTCATCCTCTCCCAGCCGAGCCCTGTTGGTGGAACCCAGGGTTCCCGCGGACTACACTTGGAAGAGGGGGGCCTGGGAAACACCAAGGACTCTTCCCTGGAAACCCAAGTTGTCAGTCCCTTCGGACCTTTCCACGAGCTGATGCTCTGAAAACACATCAACAAACAAACACCGTCCACAAACAGTTCCCCGCCGCCTTGGGAAGAACTGGGTCAGGGGTAAGGAGTGGAGGGCAAGCAGGGGACAGAGGCAGCGAGGGACTAGTGCTAGGCAAGCGGATTATGTTGTATTTCCTCCTATTATCAGACTTCCAGAAGGAGAGACCACGATTTGTGCATAAAATGTGTACCCCGGAGTGGATGAGACTGAAGGCAGCATTTGTGGAGGTTAACCTTGACTGGTTGGAGTTAAGGGGGTGGGGGTGAGGCAAATATTTCTGTTTGTGCCCTCCGGCTCTTCCCAGCACCGGCTGTCAATCCCGACGCTTGTTATCCTCACAAGGCTTCAGTTTGTTTGCCTGATCTCAGCAAGGTTTTCTTCCACAAGTAGAACTATAATTGCTATAATTCTACTGTATCATTTGGATCATTGCAGTATTGTTGTTTTCTCTCCCTCTTTCTCTCCTCCTAACACTGCAATAACGCGCTCCAGTGTTAAATTAGCAGGTTGCGGAAGACCATAAATGAATGAAAGTTTGTTAAAAAAAAAAAAAAGAAAATAAATAAATAAAACAGCAAAATTACTTGGCAAAGGAGATATCACATCGCAGAGACTCCTTGAGTGTAATCAGGACTTATTGTCTTCCCTTCCAATGGCTTCCAATTTGGTCGCCAGACTCCAGTGAAGTTTATTTCTATTGTTTAAATATATGTTTTGCAGAGGTTGAGCATAATTTAAGGGGACCTGAGTGTCCGGTGAGGCTGGAAGCCCGTCACTGCTTTATTTACCTATGCGTATACTGCACAGTAAATTAAAACATCTCAAATGAAAAGTGTGCAAGGTTAACTCTCCTCCAAACATCCCCCCCATAATGACATTTACTGCCACCCCCTTATCCTGCATTTCTTGCAAATATAATTTTGAAACTGCAATGTAGAATTAGTTCTCACCATGGAAAAGAAAGGAGTTTCTTCCATCCTCCTTTTCTAGGTAATTATTATTTCCAGTCCTGGGGACAAGCCTCATCTTTTGCCATAAACAACAGTTTTAAGCACTTCTGACCCTCATTTCTGGCCATAAATGTCATTTTTATTTCACTGATTGACTGTAAAGGCAGATGAACTGCAAACTATTGTTTTCTAGGCAGCCCAGGGAAAATTAAAAAAAACAAAAACAAAAACATTTACAGACCCCAAAGACCAGAGGAGCCAGGAGTTGTGAATAACAAAGTACAAACGTGAATATTACCACTAAAATGAAATTAAATGATCCGTGGGAAAAAGAAAGTGAGATGAAAGGAAAGTGAAGGGTCATTTTGCTGACATTAAATATGAAATTGGCTAACCTAAAAGTTTTTATACATATCCTATAGCCCAATTCTTACAAGTTTACCTACTTAACAAATCAGTTAAATTCTTCCTAGATCTTAGAAGTATCATTTTTGTTTTCTAAAATAACAAATAGGAAGGGTGCCTCCCTGGCTTAGTCATGGGACTCTTGATCTCCCGTTCGTGAGTTCAAGCCCCATGTTGGGTGTAGAGCTTACCTTAAAAAAATTAAAATTAACAAATAGGGTAGCGCATACATCCTAAACCCATATTCTGTCTAGACACTATGGGGATGCCAGCAGGTTCTGTCTTCCAGTGGGTATGCTGGAAAGTTTTCTGTTGTTGTTTTTAATTTAATATTTCAGGAATAGCAAAAGTCAATTGTAGATATTGAAGTTGGTATTGAATTGTGACAAAGATCATCTCAGGGCTATTGGGTGTAAAATGAACGGGGTCGGGCCCTTCTTCCCAAAGTGAATGGACGTATCTTCCCAATAGCGTCCTCACAGCGGAAGACTAATTAGAAATACCAAAAATGAACAAAATAAAATAACAAAGCTAGTGTTTTCAAATAGGTTTCCTAAGGAAACACATTATATTCCATTAATAGAGTTAGATTTAATTCCAGGGGTCATTAAGTCAGAATCAGAAATTCTATGTTAACCTCCTCTTTTACAGTGGATGATTAAAATTAGAATACACCCCAGCAGAAAGTCCGACTTCTTTTTTAAAAAAGGAGAACAGCTGCAGAAGGGGGAGGAGGGAGAGGAAGCAAAGAAATCTTCCACCGAGAGAGCTGAAACCCTGTTAGGCTCTCAGAAATGATTTGTGCGTTTGTGTCTCTTTTTGTTTAACACGATCTTTTTTGGACTCGTTTTTCAGCCCACTCCCTGCGTGTGCGGAGCCGACTCTGAAGTCACGGAGCCACCCAGCAGCCGGGTCTTGTGGATTTCCGACGCGGGGCTCGGCGGGAGGGAAAAGTGCCTATGTTTCTCCCAGCGACCAGCCGCAGGGACACCCGCGAGGGTCCGTGGCTGGAGGCTTGGAGGAGACGGTCGCGTCTTTACAGCTGCATCGAGACCCGCTTGCCGGGAGTGGGCTCTCGGGGCTGGGGAGGGAATCAGCGCGCAGAATGTTAGGTGAAAGCTGAATGGGAGAGTAAAAACTGGAACTGTTGGTGAGGATGGAAAAAGGAAGAATGCAGGAAAGGCAGGAGAAGATCCCAGGTGCCTTGGATCAGCAGGCAGGGCTTAAAAGAAAATCGAATGTCACAGATAGCTCAGGGACAGCTCCGTCCCTCAGCCCCATCATCCAAGTGTAGGAAAAACTGGTGAGAATCAAACTAAAAATCAGAAAGACAGAGAGAGGGACACAGACATATTTTCCCTCTTGCCTCTAATAGTAGTAGTATTATCAGCATCAGTATTAACATTATTAATGTACCTGTTCCCAACCCTTCATCCCCCTCAAGTTGTGTCTTGAATACTCCTGCCAAGCGAGCCCGATCTTTTGGCCACCCACCCACCAGCATCCAAGAGTTATGCAGATGTTTATGGCTGGAAAAAAAATCCCAGTTATGCATCCTTGTATTTTTAAATACTGACTGTAAGTGATTCAAGTATAATCCTTTGTAAAACGCTTTTCTCTTTGACACATTGAAGGGGTTGAGACAGAAAAACCCGGCGTGGATTCCCCCTCCCTGAACCCTCTCCCACCCACCACCCTTGCTCCCAGCCTGCCATGGTGGGGGGTGGGGGGCTAACTGGCCCTTGAGCCTTGCACCCAGGCAAGGAGGGAGTCCATGCTAGCCCCTCGCCCAGGCTTGGCCCAACTTCAGTCCCGGCTGGTCTCAATTCTCAGCGCTGAACGCGCAGGAAGTTGTTTGGTAAGAAACGCATTCAACCACAGGCTCATTCTCTTACCTTTGCTAATGGTAGCCAGGCCCTAAGAATTCAAAATTTTAGGCGCTTACGCTTGGTAGAAGCCGAACCTGGGTCCTTCCCACCCGGGAGAACGCAGGGCCCCCAGAGGTCTGGTCCCTGCCCGAGATTTGAGAGTGTCCAGTCTCGGGGTGACAGCCTAACTAATGGAGGCGAACTTGCGGGAGGAAGAGAGAAGCGAGTCTGGGGAGGAGGTGGAGACTCCCAGACTCCGCAGTTGACACTCGCCTGTCCCGTTCTGACCCATAGGTGCTCAAGTGAAGGCCGCGGGTCTTTGGCTGAGCTTAGTCCTCAAGAGGACTATTTCCAGAGGTCAATACGGAGACGAGAGAGGTTGGGGGCCTCTACGAACCCGAGAGCAACCTCCGGGCTCAGGGTGACGACTAACAGCTCAAGGCGTCGGGCCACAAGAGTAAAGGGAACGCCCAAACAGTAATGTTAGCTTTCGGCCATCACCCTGACACCTCGGAGGCCAGTCCGGCCTAAAGGGCACGGCGACCGGGCGCCACTGAGATCGAGGCGCTGTCCTGGAAGCACAGCCCTGGCTTTGCAAAGTACCAAGTCGGTCTGAACGCGAGCCTCAAGGCCTTGCCTCCAGGAAGGTCCTCTGGTTGGTGGAAGGGGCGCACGGCGCCCAAGTGGCACTCACAGGCCTGACATCAGAATAAGCTAGAGCTTCGGGGCAGCCCTGATGGGATAAAGGAGAATGCACAGGAAGAAGACGGAGAACTTAGAAAATTGTTAGTTAAAAACAAAAAAAGAAAAGAAAAATGGTTTGGGTGAGCGCCCGCTGTCCCCTTATCCTCCGCAAACCCCTCCCCAACGCCGGCCTTTCCGGACTCCAGTCCAGGCTTTGCTCTGAGCCCGCAGCCCAGCGCAGCCCGGCCTCTGGCGAGAGCCAATCAGAGGGCGCCTCTCAGCACGTGGAGGAGAGAGACTCCAGAGCTCCGCGCCCGCCGCTCACTACACTTGTTACTGCTTGTCCTGAGCGCGGAGAGGGCGAGCTTGGGCTGCGGGCAGGGCGGGAGCCAGAAGCCAGCAACCGAGGGAGGCAGAGAGGCACAGAGATCGAAGTAATATCCATTACAACCAGCCATCTAACCCCACTCCCTAACACACATCCATCCACCCCACCCTCCAGGAGAGGCAGCCAGCGGCCCCGCTCTCTGCGTCCAGGGAAAAAGCCCCAGCCATGAGCAATCAGTACCAGGAGGAGGGCTGCTCCGAGAGGCCCGAGTGCAAAAGTAAATCTCCAACTTTGCTCTCCTCCTACTGCATCGACAGCATCCTGGGCCGAAGGAGCCCATGCAAGATGCGGCTGCTGGGAGCCGCGCAGAGCCTGCCTGCCCCACTGGCCAGCCGCGCCGACCAGGAAAAGGCTGTGCAAGGTAAGGCTGCGCCCGCCAGGCACCTGCAAAGAGTGCTGGGCACTGGTTTGGATGTTTGATGTTCGGGGCCAGGGGCCTGGGGTTATCAAGCTGGAGATGGAGGACAGAGAGAGAACAACTCTGAGGCCTGGTGCCTCAAAGAGCAGCAAACATCTCGCTAGGGGCTGTCTCTCCCTTCCTTTCAGCTTCCTGAAGCACAGGCCAAGCTTCGCTTTGGGGGGGGGGGGCTTAGATTCTCAGAATTGGCCTTTAGGTCGTTTCAGTGCTTCCTTTGGTGGCCTTGGGGGTGCTCTGAAGAGGGGCCACCGGTCAGAAACAGCAGGTGCCAGGTGGACCCTTGTAACAACTTGAAGACAAGGACCCCTAAAGCTGTGAATAGGGGTGTCCAGGTAGACTGAGCCTTGGTGTCTCCTCTTTGGAAGATTTCTTTATTTGTTGTGCTCTCCACACCCCCCATCCGCCCCCCACCGTCCGCCCTTTTTTTTCTTTTTTTAATTGTAGCTTACTTGTGACCTTTTAAACCCAAGCTTTGTAGAAAACATCTCCCTGGGATTACCCAAATGCTCCTTATTGTATTTGAAATGTATGAAATGTGCGGCTTCTGGGTGCTATGTTTTCTCTGCTGTGTTATTTTTTTTAAATAGAGTTGAAACATTTAAAAGTTTTTTTTTCTAAAATTAAAAATTCCAAAACAACCGTCGTTTTGCCCCGAACCTGTTACGCTCAAGTTTCGCCTTGAGCTGCCCTCAGAAGTATCACAGGGAAAGAATTGTTGATTCCTTTTAAAATCCGAAAACCAGCGGTCCAGCCGCAGCGCCCCTTGGAAGACAGGAGCAGATGGCGGAGAAGGAGAAGTTTAAAATAAAACTGACTTTTTCCTTTTCTTTTTTTAGCCTGCAGTGGCACCTGTGCCAGGCGCTTCCTCGAAGGGAAAGAGCGGCCTGTGCCTGTTGTGCCCCCCTCCTGCCCCCTCCCAGGCCTTTCCGAGCCCATTTTCCCCAGGACGATTTTTCTTTGCCTTTCTGTGCTAGGAGCCCCCGTCCCCCGCCCGCGGCGGGCTGTTGCGGCACGGCCGGCGCTCAGGGCCACTGGGCCGCTTCCTCAGTCCCCGCAGGGGTCGCCCACGGGCAGTGCCCCTCTCGCCGGCCTGGGCCTGCGTGGCAGAGCAGCGGGCAGAGGTCCTGCGTAAAGTTTTCAGGGTGGTGATGATTTTTTTAAAAAGTTGTTGAATGTTTTCAGATTCTTCCTTGCCCTGAAATGGGGAGGGGAAAAAAGTGAGAGAGAGAGAGAGCGTGCAAAGGGAAAGAAAAAGAAAGGAAAAAAGGAAGAGGAGAGTGAGCGGGGAAAGCGCACAAAAAGAAAGGAAGGAAGGGCGAGAGGAGAAAGATGAGGAAAGAACGTGAGAGACGGGTAGAGAAGGAAGGAGAAAAAGAGAAGGAAAATAAAAATGAAAGGGAGAGAGGGAAAGAAAGAGGTAAAGGAAGGAAAAAGGAAATGAAGGGAAGAGTGGGAGAGGGAAAGGAGAGATGAGAGGGACGGAGGAGGACAGAAGAAAAAAAAGAGAAGGAAAGAAAAAGAAAAAGCCTGAAAAGTGGGGAAGGAGGTGAAGGGGGTCCAAATCCGGTAGTGCGCGGGAGGGGGGACGGGGCCTAGGGGCTGAGAGAGCAGTGGTGGGTCGGCCTCCGGTGGCGGGGACGCCCGGCTGGCTAGTGCGCTGACCGCTCTCCCTTGCCCGCAGGCTCCCCCAAGGGCAGCAGCGCCCCGTTCGAGGCTGAGCTCCACCTGCCGCCCAAGCTTCGGCGCCTGTACGGCCCGGGCGGGGGCCGCCTCCTCCAGGGCGCCGCGGCGGCGGCGGCGGCGGCCGCGGCAGCTGCTGCGGCGGCGGCCACGGCCACGGCGGGTCCGCGCGGGGAGGCCCCTCCGCCGCAGCCTCCAACCGCGCGGCCCGGGGAGCGTCCGGACGGCGCGGGGGCTGCGGTGGCCGCCGCGGCCGCCGCGGCCGCGGCCTGGGACACACTCAAGATCAGCCAGGCACCGCAGGTGAGCATCAGCCGCAGCAAGTCGTACCGCGAAAACGGGGCGCCCTTCGTGCCGCCACCGCCCGCGCTGGACGAGCTGGGTGGCCCGGGGGGCGCCGCGCACCAGGACGAGCGCCTCGGCCCGGCCAGCGGCCCCGGTGGCGCCCAGGCGGCGGGCGGCGGTACGGGCGCAGAGGACGACGAGGAGGAGCTGCTGGAGGATGAAGAGGACGAAGACGAGGAAGAGGAGCTGTTGGAGGACGACGAGGAGGAGCTGCTGGAGGACGACGCCCGCGCGCTGCTCAAGGAGCCCCGGCGCTGCGCCGTGGCCGCCACTGGCGGGGTGGCCGCCGCCGCCGCCGCCGCCGCCGCCGCCGCCGCCGCCGTGGCCACAGAGGGAGGCGAGCTATCGCCTAAGGAGGAGCTCCTGCTGCACCCAGAGGACGCCGAGGGCAAGGACGGCGAGGACAGCGTGTGCCTGTCGGCGGGCAGCGATTCGGAGGAGGGGCTGCTGAAGCGCAAACAGCGGCGCTACCGCACCACGTTCACCAGCTACCAGCTGGAGGAACTGGAGCGGGCCTTCCAGAAGACGCACTACCCAGACGTCTTCACCAGGTACGCGAGAGGGGCGGGCGCGGCGGTAGCTCGGAGAGAGCGCCAGCGGGCCCCGGAGAGGGAAGGCGGGCGGGCGGGGGCCCCCGGGTTCGGGGCAGGGACTTGGCTCTTGGACTCTACCCAGGTGTGTCCTCCCAGCGCACCCACCCCTACTCACAAAAAACTACGCCCACCCAACCCTACCCCTACTCCGGGCTTTAAGTTTGGACTGGGATCGCTCCTTTCCTTCCCAAAGTCTCTCCAGTTTAATTTTTTGTCAAATTACAAGTTTTAGTTAGAGAAAAACGGCCTCTCCAAAGAGTGCCCGAAAGCACCACCTTGGAGGCACGCGCTCCCCAGAGCACAGACGCCGGACCCCAGGCGCTGCGGTCCCGGCCAGGCCCCAGGCCAGGCTCAGGAAGCAAAAACAGGGGCTATTTTTGGCCGCTGTGTGGTGCGCGTTCGCCACCCCCGCCTGATGCCCCAGGAGCCTGGTGCGTATCAGTTAACGCTGTTCGCTGTTCACAGTGAAGCTGGAGCCTGTGCCTGCGGAGAAGGCCTTTAAAAAGATTCCAGTTCTGTCGTTTGAGGACTTCTGAAATAACGGGAGCAAGTCAGAACTGGGCAGGGTTTGGTATCTGCACATCTGGGGGGCAGCAGCCTGTCTTCCCCGCTCATCCCTGTGCTCTCTTCGCACACGCACGTTAAGCCCAGCACTGGTTTACTGTACGCGGGTTTACAGGGGCCGGCCGGGATTGCTGGCAGCCTGGCGGTCGGGAGACAAAACGGCGGGGGGAGGGGGATTTTTCCTCTTTGGACTGCTGTCCAGCCGGGGTATTACGCCTGGTCACGCTCCACTTTCCTCTTGCCGGACTGTTTTGGGGAAAGAGGTGAGATGACTGGACCCCAAGGCCCCAGCTAGTTCATCCAACCTGGGGCGCTGGCCGGCGGTGGGGGAGGCTTCCTCTCCCCCACGAAGGCCAAGGTCTGGGCTCAGACCAGGAGAGGAGCCAGGGGCAGGGCAAACTTCCCTCCGTGGGTAGTAGAAACCGATGGGTATCTGCCTGGCGCAGGAGCTTGTCAAGCTCGGGCAGCTCCTTCGCTCAAGACGCGTGCAGCTTTTCCATAAGCGGTTTAGAAGCGGATGGCTAGCCGCCCCTTTGAACCGGAGGAGGAATCGCAGCTCAGAGCTCAGGAGGCCCGAGCCAACTCTAAAGTGTCGCTGATCTGGCGAGTAACTGCCAAACTCTCTCTTAAGCAGTCATGAAAAAGAAGTGGCTCTGATGCTGGCAGGCACTACACTTGGTCACCCCTCGAGCTAAAGTTGGTCCTGCCCTATACCATCTAGTCCCTCATCATCTTTACAAAGAACATAAATTTCAAAATCGGTGTGTGCTATAAACTGGCTAAGTGGCCGCCCTGCTTTTTTGCATTTGTGACACATGTGTGTTTCAAAAGAAGAAAATGATGAGGTATCACTGGGCATCCAGGTCTGCCCTTTCTTAGCTTCTCCAGGGGGAACCAGAGTGCTGGAAGGGGAGCAGCTCCACTCCGGCAGCCGGTGCCCTCCTCTTTCTCACTGGGGGTTACCTAGAGTTCCTGGGCTCAGGCGGGGGAGCCGGCCAGAAGTGTGGCTTTAGATTTGCTGGTGCTCACGACAGCGGGAGGCAAGGGAAAGCGCTCGGTGATCTGGTTTTCTCTCCTGGCCCTGAAGTTCCAGGTGTGGACCTGTGCCCTGCGGGCATTGCAGACCGGGGTCCCAGGCTGGGGCGGCCCCCACTCTTTCATAGTAGCGGGGGTAGAGCCAATTATTCTCTCGAACTCATATTTTCGGTAAACAGGTCGTAAGCCATTTTACAGCATCTTAATGGTTTCCTATTTGCCTTAATTGTCGCAGTAATAACTGCAATGACGGGGTAGGGTTTCAGTTAAATTGACTTCCCCTGAGATGGGCAGGGTTTGTAGTGGGCACTGGAGTCAGGAGGTGCGCAGAATTTTGTTTAATCAAAAAATTACCCCACTGAACTCTTAACAAGCTTAACATATCTCCAGAGGGTAATGGGGAGTATGACCTAAGGGGCGAGGGAGGGAGGGAGGGGGGCGGGGGGGGGAGAGATGGAGGGAAAGGCGAAGAGCTGGAGAGGGAGAGAGAGAGAAGGAGGGGGAGAATGGGGGGGGGGGGAGGTAGAAAAAAATTTCAAGGCAGAAAGACACCAAGGGCAGGAAAATAATTTTTGGTTGAATACTGAGTTCTTCTCCCATGTAACATTAGGACAGAACAGCCAGTAAGCATTGTGTGCATGTGTTTCTTGTACAACTCTGGCTTATGGGAGACTGAGGGGGAATCCGAGTACCAGTTAGTTTTATGGACTCAAGAAGCCACCCCTGTCACTCGTGAATATAGTATGATACAAGGTAATATCTTATACCCAGCAATGTGTTGTATGTTTTTAATGTTTTCAAACAGTAGGCATTTTGGTGGTGAAGGGCTCATGAGGCCCATCTGTTTGGGAGTGAGGCAGGCAGCCAGGGGAGACCCTCATGGCGGAGGCCTGCCAGCAAGGGGAAGGTGGCTGAGAGGGCTTGCCGGAGCCTGCTGTGACCTCCTGTCTGTGTGTCGCTTTCTTATAGGGAGGAACTGGCCATGAGGCTGGATTTGACTGAGGCCCGAGTCCAGGTGAGCTGTACCAGCAGAGAGAGAGGAGGGAGGGGGAGGGGCGGGGAGGGGAGAAGAGTGGGAGAGAGGGGGGTGGATGAATTGGGGTGGGTTGAGACCCCCCTTCATAAAACGAAGAGAAGCAGCATCAGAAAAAAAAAAATAGACCCAAACACTCATGCACAAAAAGACGAAAATGTGAAGACCTGGGAGGTTGGAGGGGAAGGTTTCTGGGTTTGGGAACCTTGAAGAAGGGGTCTAGGATCAGAAGAGGGGTTTCAGGGTCTCCGCACTGCAGTCAGGAGCCCCCCGGTTCCATGGCGCCTGTAGGAAACAATCGGAGGACTGACTTCTCCTGATTGAAATAATGGGATGGAGCATGGATTTGGTTGTTAGACAAATCCGCTCAGCTCCGAGCAGGTATTTGGCTGCGATTAAGTCTCCAATCGGGCTTCATAAAAGCCCACTTAGTGCTAGAACAAACAGGGCCATTTGAAGGCAAAATGCTGTTTGATTTCCCCTCCGCCCGCACAAGGAGCTGGCTAATGCTATTTGATTTCCCATTTTTTATAGCAATGAGCCCACATTGATCTAATAGGGAGTGAGTGCAATGCTATTAAAGGTGTTTGCAGCCCCATACCAGAGTGCATTTCCGAACCCAGGCCTCATAACCAAAGAGACGATCAACACTGGGCAGCCCCGATGGCCAACAGAAAACAGATGTCCCTGGGTTAGGAGCTGAATGAATCACTTTACAGTCAAAATCAAGCGCTGATAAAGCACAATAAATTCCATATGGCTCATTTAATACACAACAGCTTCTTGCATTAGAGGGCTAATGATGAGGCCTGTCCCCTCCTTTCTGTTGACACATTTCTCCATTGTCAAACAGAGATGTGACAGCAACTCCGTATTTTCAGCTCAGGGGAACGAGTCGTGGGAAAGTTAAATAACTTTTAAAAAGAAAGAGAGCGCCCCCTCCCCTTCTCCTCTCTCCCTATTCACTGGAGAAGATGTAATTAAGTGAATATGAATTATTAGAGCCCTTTCGTTTACCTTTGGGGGGCCTCAGAGGTATTAATTCAATAATGAGGAATTGCAGGGGGACATCTTGATGATTGCAGTTGAGCCGGGAGAGACGATCTGTCTGTAAAAGGTTTCCATGTTCTTTGAGGGCATTCTGCCTCCCCTGCCCCCTCCCCTCCTCCACTCCTTTCACTGCCATCGGAGAGTGGCGGATATTCTCGTCTAGACAGATTTGGATACACAAAAGCTGCCCACCCAGCCTGGTCCCATCTAGTCTTACTTTTCCAAGCCTCTGAATTTCCGCACTAGAGTGTTTCTCTAATTCACAAATAGATTGTTTGAGGGCTGTGGCATCTTACGGATGGCCCCCTTTTCAGCAGCGTTTGAAATAATCAACTGATGTGCATTCTCGACTTCTCTTGTCATAGGGGGCTGTCTAGAAGGCAAGCCCAGCTTAGCTCCCAGGGCTAGTAGGACAACTTCCAGATGTGTATATACGAAAGGCACGGATGTCTTTCAATTAAAAAAACACACCGAGTCCTCTGGGATCATTTACATTATATTTTCATATAACTGGAGAGTCCAGGAGTTCATTCTTAATTTTTAGACTCGTGTGCAGGCATCACCCCAAGCCTAAAAATATTAATGCCTTCAGGGGAGAAGGAGCATATCTTATTAGCTGTGGGTGTGATGAACAGGTCACATAAAAATAATTTCATGCTTCTGGGAGTTATTTTTAGATTATGGTAGCTGCCACATCTCAGGTGAAGGTCTCTACTAAAACAGCTTTCTATTAACAATTAGGAAGATACCTTATGCTGGAAACCTCCCCCAAGCCTCCAACTGTCTTATTTAAATAACCTGTTTAAACCACCTCCCGCAAAGAAATCAAGGACCTGTTAGCTCTGAAGATGTGTGAAGTCTACAGGTAGTCCGCACTCTGATTTCTGTTCGTCCAGGGTTTGCTGCATACCTGGGCCTGGCAGTCAGCGCCTTCCTGGCGGGAAGCAGGCCCTGCACAGATCCCCCGCAGATGGCAGGCCGCAGGCCCCATATTTCCTTTCCCAGAGAACCGCGTCCCTACGCTGTATGCCTGTTTGCTGGGGCAAACCCAGCTTTTCCTGCCCGCCCAGCTTTCCCCAAGCCCCAGCTTAGTGCTCTTAGGTGTTCAACAAATATTTCTGGAAAGGATAAATGAACCGCCTCCCCGAGATCCCCTTTTCAACACAGCGGGGATTTTGCCAGCTCTTGGGTAAACCTGAAATGGGCGGAACCGCTGACACGCAGCGGAGAGCCCGTGTGTGTTCATCCCTGGGTGGCTGCCCACTGCCAAGAGTCCCAGGCTACGGCGAGCTTGCACATGCTTTACGGTATACATTCCACACAGCAGTTTTATTATCACCATTTTACAGATTAGAAAACTGAGGTTGAGAGAGGTTTAAGCGACGTGTTTAAAGCTGCCCCGCAAGCAGATGGCGGCGACGTTTAAACCTCGGTTTCCCCCTCTCTAAACTCTGGGACCACTTTCTTCCAGCTTGGAAAGGAACTAGGCTGTTTCAAATACGCGCTGCTGGAAAGGCTTTCCGACCCCGTGTTTCCTGCTGGCTTTACGTTTGGGCTCCTTCTCGCCACCTGTTTGGCCCCAGAGGTGTCGTTGAATAGCTGGAGGCCAGAGAGGGGCGAGTGGGCTCCGGCCCGGGTGGAAAGAAGAAAGGGCCCCGCAGCACTGGGGTGGGGGGCGGGGAGGAGGCGGGGCGCGCCCCCAGCGCCCGCCGACCGTGGCTCTCTCCGCGCTTTGCAGGTCTGGTTCCAGAACCGTCGGGCGAAGTGGCGCAAGCGGGAGAAGGCGGGCGCGCAGACCCATCCTCCTGGGCTGCCCTTCCCCGGGCCGCTTTCGGCCACCCACCCGCTGAGCCCCTACCTGGACGCCAGCCCCTTCCCTCCGCACCACCCAGCGCTTGACTCGGCCTGGACGGCCGCCGCTGCCGCGGCCGCCGCCGCCTTCCCGAGCCTACCTCCGCCTCCAGGCTCGGCCAGCCTGCCGCCCAGCGGGGCGCCGCTGGGCCTGAGCACTTTCCTCGGAGCCGCTGTGTTCCGACACCCGGCCTTCATCAGCCCTGCGTTCGGCAGGTAACGCGCGGCCTCGGGGAGTCTGTCTGTCTGTCTGTCTCTCTCATACACACACGGAGGCTGGGATCAGGGAGGAGGCCGGAGACAGGCCGCAGCTACACACATCTTCGCTCTTTGGCCAACCCGCAGAGGTTTAGCCAAAGAAAATACTCTCTAATTTTGCCTCAGTGTGGATCTCGAAGGGAATGACTTGGGACTGAGCAGCAAAGGGGAGGGCGGTGGCAGTAACAGCCGCCCTGTCAACTGGGAGTGTTCAGTGAGAGCTGTACAAGTACCAGCTGAAGGCAGCAACCACTCAGGCCATAGCTGATATGCGTGTAACCGTCCCCAGGTGTATCCTACAGAGCTGAGATGACACCAGATTTTGCAAAAATCCTTCCCCACACCCCAAAGCCTGGCAGAGGAACACAGTTCTGGTTTCCACAGGAGCCCTGGAGCCACCGGCCCTCTGGGTGCAAAGAATTCTTTCTTCTTTCCCAGACTCTAACTTCCCTGTCACTCAAATGACCCGCTGCCAGCCATACCCCCATATGTGCAACCCCCCCCCACCCTCACGGCAGCACAAGACAACGAAATAAAAGAAACAGTTCATCGTATATTATAATTCCCTTTCTTTAAATGAACATCGAATGGTGAAATAAAAAGTCTGTATAATCACCCAGACAAAGAAACAAAGGAGGGATGTATTAAGTTGGAAAGTGCAGTGAAAATAAAACTGAGTGCAGCTTCAATGATCTCTCTTTGGGAGAACAAAGAAATAACAGATTCATCCAACTGCGCAGCCACTTAACAAAAATCATCTTAGAGAAAAGTTTCAAAAAAAGACACTAAGTAAAAGTAGTTTCATTTAACAAACCGATAAAATAAACAGTGCACTGAAGTGTAGTTAGTGACTCAGTTTACCTATGGAACCAGGGCATCTTACACACCCCCTCCAGGCCACACTTTATTTTTTCTGGGAAAACAACTTTAAGTCCTGTGTCCCTTGAACCAACCCCACCCCCACCCCCTTTTTCCTTCGGACAAGTGACTTGTAAAAGCTGGCAAACCATGGCTGGAGTACCAGACTAGGAGCGGTCGCAAGAGGAGTGCGGTGGGGGTGGCATGAAGGGTGGAGGGTGACTTGGGATAAGTAGGAGGCTGTCCTCGAACCCTAGTGCGCTCATTTCTAATCGTGGAAACTCCCAGTCGGCACTGCGGGAGTTCGGAGCCAGAAACCTGGCGGGGGGGGGGGGGCATGAGGGGGTTTGGGGGTGGTAGTGTCAGGTGGCATGGGGGGTGGCTCTGGCCTCAGCTGCAGGTCCGCTGTGTTGTGAGAAGGGGGTGGAGGCGCCGCGAGAAGCAATCCCGGCGCCGCCTGGAGTTGGTGGCGCGGACTGGGATCCCAGACTCGGGGTCCGAGGCTTGCGCGTCGCCGTGCACCGCGCGCGCGCGGGGGTCGCGGGTTCGGGGGTTCTCTGGGTAAGAGGCTGCGGGACGCAGGGAAGGCGATGGGGAAAGAGTGTTGCCGCGCCGGGACGCGGGGCGGCTGGAGAGTCAGAGCGGCCTGTCGAGCGGAAATCAACAGGCGGGCGCCCCCCACCCCCACCTCGCGGTCATTGGCTGGGCACTGGCGACTCAGTCTGGCGCGGGACGGTGGCCGTGTCGGCGGGAAGGCCAGCAAACCAGGCCAGTTTTTCCGGGCAAGAGGAGTCCCCCGCCGACAAGGCGCCCTAGGGAGAGTACAAAGTCTGCAGCATAGGTCTGGATCGGTTTTGATCCCACTTTCTCCCTTCTTTCTCTTTTTTACTTTACTCCTCCCTCTATCTCTCTTCTTTTCCTCTTTGTCTTTCTTTTCTCTCCTGGCAACTGGAGCTCCCGGCCTGAGAATACAGCCCCTTCTTATGCGAAAGCGCAGAATCCAGGCAATGGGGCCGTTGGGTTTTGGGCCACGGGACCTGCCTCCGCCCTGGCTCAGATCCCCTCAGGATATCTGGCCCCTGGGCCTCGCCCCACCCCCGCCACACACCATCGGTTCCCTGCTCTAGTAAAGCCCTCTCAGAGCACCCTAGCCTCCCACCCGTGCTCGCACCTGTACCCCAGCCCATGGCCCACCCTAGCCCTGCGACTCCGGGCTTCTTCCGGCGGCGCCCGTCTGCACCCTTGTATGGCTTTCTGCTCCCCGGGTGGGAGGCGGCAGGAAACGCTGCCCGCCTGCTCCCCTCCCTGCCCCCCCACCCCACCCCCGGCGCCGCGCTCAGCTCCCGAGGCCGTGACCGCGCTGTTTGCTCTCCCTGCAGGCTCTTTTCCACCATGGCCCCCCTGACCAGCGCGTCGACCGCGGCCGCGCTCCTGAGACAGCCCACGCCCGCCGTGGAGGGCGCGGTGGCGTCGGGCGCGCTGGCTGACCCGGCCACTGCGGCCGCAGACAGACGCGCCTCTAGCATAGCGGCGCTGAGGCTCAAGGCCAAGGAGCACGCCGCGCAGCTCACGCAGCTCAACATCCTGCCGGGCACCAGCACGGGCAAGGAGGTGTGCTAAAGGCTGCCCTCCACCCTCGCGCCCCGGGCGCACCCCGAAAGGTCACCTCACTCAGCACCACTCAAGACCAAATGGAAACAGAGGACCAGCACACTCCCGAGACGGCACTGAGAGAGCACAGCCGCCTTCGCAGCAGCCTGGATGCGGGCAAGGCAGCCCCTGGCGCTACCGGACGTGGCACCTCCTCGGCTGGCTGTCCACCCGCCCCTGCCCCCGCCCCTGCCACTGCCAACCTCGCTCCCACTCGAACGTCCATTCTCTCCCGTTCTTACTTTGCTGAAAATATCGGAGAGGTTTTCTCTCCAAGACGCCTGGTATTGAAGTTAAAAAATTAAAAAACCCAACCTCTCTTCCTCCTGGCACCCCACTTAGCTTTTTTTTTTTTTTTAACAGCATTTTGGCGCTCTAAGTTGATCTCCCAAGCGTGGGCCCCGGTGTGAAGCCAGGGCCAGGGAAGCGAACGCGAATCTGTAAGATAGCTAACAGTGCACTTAACAGAAAGGGGCGTCTTGTTCTTGTTCTCTTCTTTATCATACACCAACCAAGGTTTTTATATCAAACCAAAGGGAAATACTCTGCTAGAATATGGACTGTTGAAGTCACCAAACTGTGATTATTGATTCTGTACATACCATTGTTATTAAAAAAAAAAAAAAAGAACAGAGCTTTGTATATTTGAAATGTTATAACGCAATTGCACTCAGCGTGGTATGGTAAAAGTTTGTCCTCCTGTAGATTCTTACTGTGTTGTAGATACGGTAGGGTTCCTAGACAAATATTTATGTACTCAAGCCCTTTATTTAACTTATTAACTGTAGAGGCTTCCGAAACCTTTAAGATAAAGGCAATGGTACAGTACTTTTGTGTAATGTGTAATTGTTATCACTTTTCCTTGCTATCTAGTGGAGAAGTGTCACGCTCAAAATAAAAAAAAAAATTATATGTTTAACAAAAGGAAGTGTGAATGCTCTATGCAGGCGCTGTGGGGTCAGCACACTGGGGGCCCCCCAGAGGCCAGGGGTGGGCTCCGGCGCTCAGGCACCTTCTCGGTTTATCTGCGAGCGCGTTCTCCTGGCAGAGGCCCCAGGTTTGAATCTGATCCTCGAAGGCATTTGGGTTTCGTCCACGAGTTAAGGACGCCGCCGCAGCGCTTTCCGCCGCATCTCGCCTCCCCCGGGTCGTGCCGCCGCGGGAGCTGAGAGTCCGGGGCTACGGACGTGGGTTGGGCCCATGGTGGGCGGTGGGTGGGCGGTAGGCGTTGTTGACGGTGGAGATAGAAACTTGAAGCGAGCAGGAGTCTTGGCTTGGAAGGTGAAGGAAACTGTTCGTGGAAAGTGCCACGTAACAAGGAAGCGCGCAGTCCGAGATGACAGGTAATGGCGAGAGCAGGAAGCCGAGGCGCTGGCTTCCGAGGGGGCGGGCTCCACAGTAGACCCGCGGGGAGGAGGAGGTATGTGTGTGCGCGCGCGCGCGCGCCTGTGTGTGTGTGTGTGTGTGTGTGTGTGTGTGTGAGAGAGAGAGAGAGAGAGAGAGAAAGAGAGAGAGATGGGGAGAGGGAGAGAGAGAAGAACGCAGAAACAGTGATGGAAAGGCAGCGAGGGGTATCCAAGTGGCAGATCTTAACTCGACAAATGTCATTACATCACTTATCCAGGCATTGGCAAATGTATACGTTTAAAAAAATCTAAACAACTCAGGTTTCTTGAGGAGATCCGATCAGATTTGCAATCCGTAAACCCCTCGGCGCACTACTCCCCGCGCCGGGAACCGTGGCTTCTCCCTCCCCCGCCTCGGCCCTTCCTGCGCCCCTCCCGGTGACCGCGGGGGAAGCCCGCCCGCGGGGGCTGGGTCTCGCCGATGCTCCCAGGGTGATGGGAAAGGGAAGAGAAGCTTAATTAGTTTCAATTTGTAGTAATTAGCGCGCCGGACCTTTGGGGAGAGGGGCAGGCGGGGGGTGGGGTGCCGCCGCGGCGTGACTACCGGGCTCGCGGAGCGGGTGCCAGCCGCCCCGCCAGGCCGTGGGCCAGTCGGGCGCCGCGGGGGGCGGGGGCGGGGGCGAGTCTCGGGGCCTGCCGTCCGGCTCCGCGCGCGCTCCCGGGCCGCGCCCCGCAGAAGGGGGGCGGGTCCCCTTGCGGTCGGGAGCGCAAGTGTGCGCGGCCTGGGGGCAGGTGCGGGGTCGGGCAGAGGTCGGCGGCAACTCGGGGGCGGATAACCCGCTCAGCAGCTGCCGCGCTCGGGCCCGGGTGTCCTCGGCTCGCCCCCCCACACCCCGCCCGCCCCGGCGCTGAAATCCGGAGCCCCCGCCTGGCTGGGAACTTTGGGGAAGGCGCCCACAGGCTTCGGGGCCACGGCTGCTTTCCGGCCCTGGGCAGTCGGGTGGGGCGACCGCCGCCGAGCCCGGGCTCCAGACTCACAAGGACGGAGCTCGAAAGCAGAAGCCCCGCCTGGGGCCAGGGGGAACGGGCCCTCCCACCACCTCTTTTCAGCCACTGCGGCTACACACCCCTTTCTCGAGTTTAGCAGGCCCGGCGGGAACTTTCTAGGACGTCCCCTCGCGATCTGAGTGCCTCAAACCTCCAGGCTCCACAGGATCTCTCGGTGTGAAGACCCCTTTCCTGGGGTGGGCAGGGTTACTCTGGAGTTGGAGGTGGGGACAGGGGAGGGCAGGAGAAGAGGGAGTGAGGGAAAGGCTTTTTTTTTTTTTTTTTTTTTTTGGTGGTCAATATCAATTTTCCCTCGATTTTGGCTTTTTGTTTAGGTACGGCTTTTTTTCCTCTCCAGACTGCCAGTTGGATGTTATACGAGAAACAGTACCATTCTTCCTGTTAATGAACTCTTTTTTAAGTCATTTTTTCTCATTTGACCCTTCCATGGAGCAGAAGCAAATTGCGTGAAATTACCTCCAAGGATTACATTTATTACTGGCCAATGAGAACCCCTTGCCTTGTTTTACAAACTCTTAATCCTATGTCATTCTGATGCCACAAACAAGCCCGGTCCTGGGCCTCCTATTCTTTCAACTTTCCCCAGCTGGAGGGACCTCATTCTGCACTTAATATTCCCCATAAATATCACACGCTAAAGACCCCCTGACTTCCAGCAAGTCCACATTAAACATGTGACATGTCACGCATGACAAACTCTGAGTATCTTTTCAAAGCAGCATTAAAAGCAAAGAAACCAATTTTCTTCTCCTTCCAAACCTCCCCAAGTGCTGAATGATGGGGATTGGAAAGAGCCACTGGAGCGTACTTAGGGGGATTTTATGAGATTTTCCAGAATGATTTAATCTTATTGTGAGCATTATTAATGAATGGCAACCCAATTTGGCCCCAATATCTGGGAATGCAGTCACAATGCTGGGAGCGGCTGACCGCCCCCCCACCCCAACCTTAAGCAAACCTCTTCCATCCTGGAGGAGGACATGCCGAGCCCAGGGGAGTTCAGGAGAGCCCCTGGGATGGGGGCATGGCTGTCCCCTGTCACACCCAGGGCAGAATGCCCCACCACCTGCTTTCCCAGGGCCACCCCTACAGAATCCTGGGATGAGGGGGTGATTGGGAGACTCTGTGGGAAGGGTGAGAGAAGGGGAAAGTTAACTTGCTACATTTTCAGACAGGCTAGCTGCATCTGGATAAGGCCCTGGAAGGAAAGGCAAGAAGGGATTAAGATTGCCATAATATTATCAGAAAGTGCCCCTGTGTTCTTCTGTTCCCAACCACCCATGGCCTGGAACGCGGACGGTTGGGGTGGGGATCCTCGGTTTGTGGTGGGGAAGACGGAAGTTAGGTGTTTTAGAGAGAGGGACTATTGGAGAAGGTTTGGGACTTGAAACTCAGACTTCAGCTAAAGTCACCAGTATTGGCCCCAGCCAGTTTCCCATTTTTTTCCCCTCCTATTAGCCCACTCCTCTCCCTAATTGGGGCAAACATTTATTACTGTTGTTTTGGATTTGTACAACCCAGAGACAAGGCACCCACGGTTCTCCTTTTCGTATCATTTTGAGTGTAGAGATCTTACTGGATTAGAAGAAGGGGTCGATGTCAGAGGGAAGAAAAGTATACACGGGTTCATTGAACTTGCCTTTAGAGGGCAAAAAATGTGTACGTGAGCATGTGTGCATGTGTATACACAACAGTGTGTGTGGATAAAGGGGGTCTTTAACGGGGCCTCAGAGGGTATTTTGGAACCCTGAGTCCCATGGAGGAACTGCGTATTTCACTGCCAGTGGCAGGCTGGCTGGGGGTGGGGAGTAGGAAACCCGCTACCAGCCAGGGTGGGGTGGGGGGAGAAGAATTTTTCACAGGAAAAAAGTTGTGTTGTCTCTGGAAGTTATTAACGGTCCACTTTGAAGTATACATTTTTTCCTTTAAAGAAAAGGGAGCGATCACCAGTTATACATTACAAAATGTCATTCAGTCATTTTTATTCAATTCTCCGGAAATCTTCGTAAAAGCCTGAATCATACTTCTGCAAGCAGCAATTTTGTTAATCCAGGGGGTTATTACTCTGGGCCCTTATTAGGTTCTACACCACTGCCAAGCAATCCTATAACCCTCTCAAAAGAAGTTTACCTCCCTGTTATAAAACCAGTAGTGGTATTTATACTGTGCAATAATTAGTGTATTACTTGAATCCACTAACACGTTCATTTTATCTCCGCACAAAACCTCTAGTCTGCTTATAGAAAGCTTGTGCCTCCTTTGGTGCTGGTAAAGTGGTGAAAGAGTGAATTGAAGGCTGGTTGCACTTTCTCCTTTTGCCTCGCCTTAATTCCCATCTCTTTTTGCTCTCATCCAATTAGCACAGTGTATTAAGCGGTTTATCATCTCATAGTCAGCTATTGAGAGAAACAAGGCGAGCACTTTGCAATAGAACCTGCGCTCCTTTGACACCCTCAGGTACTTACATATTCCACTGTGCTATGAATAATAGAGGAAGAATGGAGCGCTAATTCCCTCATCAAAGAATGCCTTGTCTGCTGCTTTGCTCAACAACACCATTCTGATCAAAAGAAAAGCAATAAAGCTTAGCATAACAAAACGAAACCTACTTATTAGCTTAGTGGTTAAATTAATGCAGAGCCGCTGCTATTCAAAACCAAGGTTTGAAAACAGCCTCCAACAACCTGATAATGCTGCCTTCGGGATGAAGGAATTTTAATCTGAAATTTGAGGCTGGCTCAGATGAGTTAATCTATTAAACTGCTATAAGGAAGCTCCACGGCAAAGCGTTCAATTAAGAAATATTTAGGTGAGGGGAGAGAGAATGAGGGAGACAGAGAGAGAGAGGGAGAGGGAGAGAGACAGAGAGACAGAGAGAGGGAGAGGAGGGAGGGAGGGAAAGCAAGGTGGCTTTAAGTTTGGGATGGGAGCACGGAATGGAGGGGCTAGGGGAGTCTGACCAGAGGGTCTGGGGCTTGGTGTGTTTTTCTTAAGACCCTGACACAAGATGGGGAGGTGTGTTTCTGGAGTTTCCTTTATCTTTGCATCTCCTGCCAAACGAATTCAAATGCTGCGATGGGAAAGGCATGTTGATGTGCGCATGTGTTGGAGGTTAAGAGGTGGGGATGGGCACGAGAAGGGGGCGGTGGCGAAGGGCAGTGAATTCATCCCCGTTCCACATCCCCTCCCGAACCCCCATCTGGGAACTTTGATAAGCCCCCAAGTCTTGGGGAACAGTCACAAGATTAACTCCGTCTGTTTCCTGGACAAATTAAAATCTTGAGCATGATCTCTGAAGGTTTTTCGACTTCTGGCCTCCCTTCTGCCCCCTTTAAATGAAGGAGAGCTGCCGGGTAGCCAGCGGTGTCCCAGACAGATGTGCGCCCTGTGGGCAGATCCTATTGCTTCTGTCCAACAGGAGAGGTGCCCTTCTTAGAGGCGTGGGACCCTGAGAGAAGCAGGGTGCTTTTAGGGTACCGTTTCCCAACTGACCCAGATAAAAGTCAGCCCAGAGGTTTAGTCTGGCCCAGTGTTCAAAATTTTATTTAAAAAAAAATTGGTTGCCAAGGCTTCAAAATTGAGCCTCTCTACGGAATATCAGGATTCCTGGCTTCTCTTGAAAACCGGATCATGGGGCCACCCTGGGCTCCAGGCCTTCCAGCACCACCGAGTACCCTCTGCCCTCTTTGGACAGGACATGCCCACTCTGGTCCACCACAGTCCCTGCCATTCTGGCATGTGAGCCCGGCTCGTTTCAGCTGCTCAGTGTTAGCATTGAGCTTAAGATCCTCGCCCAGCAGCCTGTGGTGGAGACATGTAGGTAGGCTCCTCCTTGCAAAGAAGTGGGTGGCATTTCTGCACCCATCCCACCCACTGCCCTACCAACTGACAAAAATCAAGGGGTAGAAACCTTTCTCAGAGAAGAGTGAGTGCTAGTGAAAAGTGAGTGCTTCTCTGGTGTTCTAATAGAGTCACTGGAATTCTTAATCAAAGTTGCAGTTTCGCTTTTCTGTAAAATTCTGGCCTCTCTATGTGCCTCCCAGAAAAGCCCCTCCACTAACCTGGAGTTCCACATCTGAACAGGAAAGCATCTATGGCGGGGCGCCTGGCTGGCTCAGTGGGTTAAGCGGCTGCCTTTGGCTCGGCTTGGGTCATGATCCCTGGGGGTCCTGGGATCCAGCAGCAGCAACCGCGCCGCACTCCCAGGCTGGGATCCCTGTTCAGCGGGGAGCCTGCTTCTCCCTCTCCCTCTGTCCCTTCACCCACTTGTTCTTTCTCTTTCTCAAGTGAATGGATAAAATCTTTTGAGAGAGAGAGAGAGAGAGAGAAAGCATCTATGGCTCCATTAGCTATTCTTGGGCCTGGGCCATGCTGGCTGTAACTTTCTCTAGCCTTGCTACAGAGGCGGGTCTTGACCTCACGGTGCTTGCCCGCTAGATGCAGAGACAAGAAACAGAGTGGTAAGAAGTTATTTGAGCATCTTGGAGTTTCTTGATGACCAAGTTCAGGATAACTCTCTGTTTGTATTTACCATAAACCCAGGTTCCAGAAACCAAGGAAAAGGTGCCTTCTCTTCAGAAAGCAGTGTGGAGGCATGGGCTCCAGAAACACACACTGGAGAACCATCTCCAGAACCTTATGTGACAGAAACAATGAAGACCACACTTACTCCCCCACCTTTGCCGAAGCAATGTGGCTGCTCCCACTTGTGACCGGCTGCAGAGCCTGAGGTGCGGAGGCATTCGCTAATTAAGCGACGGGGCCCTACACCCAAAGTGTCTCTGCTTGGAACCTCTGTCTCTTATACAGAGGACAACGTGAAGGAGAGAAAAGAGAAAGCAAAGCAATACAGAAGAGGGTATCATCTCCACTGTTTTCACAAGGGGATTCACTAGTGTCTGTGCTGAGCGACCTTTCTCCTGTGAGGGGCCTTTTTCCCGAGAGCCACTGGGTCTCGTTCTCCAAAAATAGATACCAGTGGGCTCTTGCCTTAGCTCTCTGGCTGTCCAAGTCAGCAAAGCACATGAGAAGCCTTAGTTCATCTCTTAAATGACCCGAGGTCCACAGGAATTCTCCCAAATGCTACTTGGAACATTTGGACATACATCACTTGGGCATCTCAGAGCTGATTTCGAACCGGGCTGAGGTTTGGGAAGGCGATGGCCTCCAGTCATCCCTTACTCCTGGCTGCCGCCTCTAGCGAACATTTTGCACCTGATAGATTCACTGCAACTGCTTTCCTTTCAGAAAACTTTATTTAAGCAGGGGATGGGGAGAGGGGATGGAAGCACAACATATTTTTCTTATAGAAAAACAGGTAGACATTTAAAAAAATACATAGCACAGTGTACAGGGGAAATAGATTCTGTTAGTATAATCTCACAAATCCTGTGAGAATGGAAAGACTGCTATATTGAAATACATTTGGCTTCCGGCAAAGAGGCACCACTGTGAAGAAACGAAAGGGGAAAAAAAAAAGCAAAACAGAAAAAAACCAAAACAGCACCGGGGCTAATTAGCCAAACCTCCTCCCAATTTCTTCTGAACACAACACGACGATACTTTCCCCAGCCTCTACACATTTTAAAGGAAATGTTATAGGATATCAAATTGTTTTAGATGTGTTTTCCTACTATATAAACCTTACCTGGACTTTCTACTTAAGGGGGAAAAGAAGGAATGTGAGTGTGAAACACCTGCCCGGTACGGGTGTGCACGTGCGGCTCTGGGCCAACTGAATCAACAAGTAAGCTCTGTTTAATCTATTTAGTCAACGCAAGGCTTCTCCCTCTCCCCCTCGGCTACCTATATAAAAGACGAGACTGAAAAGGGCAGCCGCTCCTGGAGCCCGCGGCTGGGGCAACAGCCGGGTTCAGACTAGGTTTAATTGGCGTGTGAAAAGGCAAAATGTTAGCGCTCCTACCAGGCTTCGCAACTCCCTCTCTCTGGGGGCACCTCTGCTCAAGGCCCTGAGGCAAAGCCTGGGGTCCCCTGCATTCCAGCCACTCTCAATTGATTTCTCGTCCCTCGCCAGCCCGTTCCCTCGAAATCCAGTCCTAAATACGAAGCGGCCAGCTCTTCAGCCACTCTGCAGTGCGCTCGAGGCTGTGTTTCAGTAGTTGGGGTCACACTACGACAGGAAGGCTCTTCCGACGTGCTCCGACGCTTGGCAGGCGAACGCGTGGCGGTCCCCAGTCTCCCAGTCCCCGTCAGTAATGCCCCTCCCAAGCCCCATGCGCACAAACAGGAGACGCGGTGGTCCTACAGGAGACGTGATGGCCGAGAAGCAGGAGGGTCCGGCGGAGGTGGTGCAGTGGCCAGGAAGCCGGGTGTCCGTCTTCACCCCCCCAGGCTGCCCCTTCTGGGGCGCCCTCAAGGCCTCACGGCGCAGTCAGCGAAGAGTTTGCTGAGGTTCACTTCCGAGTAGCTACTTCGGGCCAAGAACTGCTCTGCAGTGTTCTTGAGTTTTTGGTAGTCCTGACGAACTTTGGGGGTAAAAAACTTCTTCCACTTATCTAAAAAGAAATAAAAATAAAAGGTTTACAAGTCTCAGAGGTAGCGTCTTTAAAGACCATTGAGTATTTACTGATCAAGCACTAGAGAAGAGAGCGTGGATTCGGTTTGCAGTTCCGTGTCTCAGATGTCCTCATGGTCCCGTGGCTGGTCTACACTCGGGGCCAGTCCCATGCGGGGGGTGGGTGAGACCCCTAGATTCCTCTGTGGGAGCCTTTCTTCCTCTGCCCTGCCTGCCACTGCTCACCACCCAGCTGACACAGCGCCCTGTGGGACAGGCAGGTTCCCGCTCTAGTGATGCGAGCCGCAGGCGCAGGCCGGGCTGCCAAGGTGAAGCCCGCCCCCGGCCAGCACTCCCACGGCGCTGTCCAGCGCACGCGCGCAACTGTGTGCGAGGTGTGGACGCGGCAGCAAAGACTTGGTCTCGAAGGAAGCCAGAGCCTCCTGGAGCTAAGTCCCTGGAGCAGTTGGGCCTAGTTGACTTTCAGGCCCTTCGGTCTGTGTCCCTCTGCAACACAAAACGCCTCTGTTGACAGAGGTAAGGGGTAGGCTGTCCAGAGAGCACCTGTCCATTGGTAAGATTCCTTCTTCTTCTTTGTCCACACTGTATGTCTGTGAACTCTGGGTATGCAGCAGCCGGTCCTCTGTCTCCTGCCGCTGTTACCCATTCATCTCTGGCCTTCCCATTCTGAGAAGGGCTCTACCAGCCAGAGAGGAGAGGCTTCCTTTCCTTCCCCAGAGCCTGCTACCTCTGCCCTTGGTTCGTTTAAAGGAACAGTAAGGGCTGAGACACCGAGGTCTGATCTTTTGAGGATAAGGGTGATTCCTAGGGGAGGCGCCCTTCCCGGATGCTTTAGATGACACAGTGTTAGTTCAGAGCTGCGCAGGAACCCCGTAAGGTGTTTGGAAAGGCCCACATTTATTTATTTATTTATTTATTTTGGATCCCCATTTGCTGGCTGAAGGTGGGTGGTTAAGTCACTTGCCCCGAGTCACACAGCTGGAAATCTGGGATGAAAAAATGCAAGCCCAGGTATCCAGAAGCCCGAGTCCACACTGGGGAGGACAGGCTCACCTGTGCGCCGCCCTCACCCTACCCTGCGTGCCGGCGCCCAGAATGAGACGCGCAGGCCCCCAGATGCTGGCCTGTGCCAAGTCAGGCTGCCCAGTGCCCCGGAATAGGAAAGTATCAGGAAGGAAACACGGAAGGGAGTGCACATCGACCACAAAAAGAAAAACCCCACTGCAACAACAGAGCAACACTGAAACCTACAAAACACCGAGAAAACTAAAGCTGGGTCTCCAGATTTTTGTTCCTTAGCTACAAGTTCGCATTTGTTCTCTGCAACCTTTTCTAAATTACATCAATTGCCTTTCAAGAAACAACAACAAGAAGTTTTGTGGCGAGGATTTAAATGCCCAATGGGGATGGAAAAAGAGGGGCGAGGAGCAAGCAAGAGAGGGAGGCGCTGGCAGCCGACTACAGAAAGACACTTTGAAAGTTCTAATTATCGGAGTCTGGGAATCTGCCACAATGGCCCCGAGCGGTGGCGGCCGCCTCCCCGCAGGCCAGAGCGGCGGCCCGCGCCCCGTGCATGTGAATGACACACGCGCGCAGGTGCTGACTGGGGTGCACATTTCAGGAGCCGCTGGAATCTGGGGCAGGGGAGGAAGGGAGAGGGCCTCGCTCCTGATGTGTTTACCTCCTCTGCTGATGGGATATTGACTTTTCCCACCAGGTTGGTTAGAAAGGGGACTATTTACGCTGCCACACAGCAGAGTTAGAATGACAACCAGTGTCACTCGGTGCTCTTCTTCAGAAAAGATGAGTGTGACCGCCAGCATATCCCATAGCTGGTCAATACAGCTGAGGCACCACTGCACGCCAGTTGGACATGCAGATAAAAGCTCCCACTTGCTTCCCCAGTGAGAATTTAATCAATAACATATGGAAGGTCTTCTAGGAAACAGAACTGCACGAGCTGGCACAGGCGTGCCAGAGCGGGGAGCAGGGGGGGAGGGAGGGCTCACCCCTTCTTTGTGTTTATTCTTGCCCCCTTCAGGCACCTAGGCCCCCTACATTAGGCTTCGCATGAAACTGCTCTCTTGTTTCCTTTACTGCTACGCCACCGTAGAACTCAAGGGAAAATACCAGTGTTAAATGGTGGAAACCAGTTAATGTGGCTAGGAGCACGTGATTCCTTCTCCCTGCTCTGGTTTTGGGAGTCGGTAAAGAGGCCACTGACACAGGCACCGCAGGTCAGGCACCCAATGACAACAACTGTTAAGAGATTCCAAAAGGCCATCCGGCAAGGGGCTGGGAAGACCAGCCCAGCCCGGTCCACAGTGATGCCAGGGGCCGGGGCTGTTGCTGTCAGCAACCAGCGTGGAAAAATCCAAACTTCGTCAACTGGGGAAGGAAATGCTCTTCCTACACTCAGGTGCATCAGTGAAATCAACTCCAGTGGCCTCAACTATCACCTGGAAATCACTCATCTTAGTACCCCAGTGAAGCAAATCTTCTTTTCCTGGGAATAACCTTTGAGGAACGCGTATCTGCAGCTTCCCGGGCTTTCTACATGCTGACTCCTTAGAGTCATATACTGGTTATCAGAAACATCCTGTCCCCAACCCTTATGAAAACAGTGAAAAACAAGGTAGCCTAGACATTAACTATTGACAGTATTTTATCAGATACTAAAATGAACTGCTAATTTAAAAGGTGGTTTCTACTGATTAGAATAAAAAACCTCATCATCAGGCAAGTTACACTGTTTTCTACACGGGATGAACTAAACCATCACCTGCAGGTTGAACCTGTCTTAAATATTTTATTTAGAAGTAACAGATCCAAGCAAACATTAGAACTGTTTGATCAAATGGGAGTATTTTCCCATGGAAGGAAAGCATCTCCACTTCAGAGATTTTATTTCCGTATCAGTAAACCAAAAATCTCTTTCAGCTGTACTCTTTGTAAGAATCCCCTTTGGACTTAAGGAAACACATTCAACTAGAAACCACGAGGCAAAGACATTTTAACATCGCCTACTGGTTATTTTATTTTAATTAAGGCAGGCTTAGGCACACAGGCAGCAGCCGTCTCTGTTCTGAATGTCTGTTTCATTTATTTCCGTGCAAAGGTATCAAACAACAGTCAGTTATAATTGATTCTGTCAGGTGTTATACAGTCAGTCATAATTGTCTCTGTGTAGAGGTGTGTCAATTTACTATATCTGAATTAAATATTCTGTCAATTATGAAATCAGGTAATAATTTCAGTCAGTTTTTTAATTGCACGGCTTCCCACCATACAGTTCTCTGCTTTCCCACCGTTTCTAATCCATAGCCTCCCTCTCTCAATGCAACGTGAGCTTTGCCTCAAGGGGTGGAATGCCGGAAGCTTTAGGAATTCTGAAAGAAAGCCACTTTATGATTTAAAACCACCCAAACTATAGAAAACTGCTGGAGCCTCTGGCCTGGCTGGCTCTGTCCTGAATATCAATCAATAACCGGGTCTGGGCAATGCACAGTATCTGAAAGATCTTAAGAGATAATCCATGTTTCAAAGACAAATGCATTCGGGCCCCCAATCAGCTAACAAGTATATAAACACTTCTCAAAATAAGAAATAAAAACCATCATCTTCCATTCAGTTCTTTAGAAACAAATTCACAAGGCACAGTGCCAGGCACACTCCGCGTACAAGGCATTTACTGACTGAACAACGCCTCGAGGTCCAAGTCTCGTCTGGAAATCACATGGTAGACGCTCCCAGATTTCTAAGGGCTGAGGAGTCTGTTAGTCCACTCTCCAGCTCCATTCCTACTTATAAATAATTATCTCCAGTTTTCTTTTTTGCTTCTTTTTTTGTTGATACCAAAATACAGCCTTCAAACGGAATAAAATATCCATGGTTTAGCTCAAGTACTCTACTAGGCTGATGGGACAAGTATTTAGAAGTGTGATTATAATTCTCTCCATCACTGGTCTGGTTCGTGTTCAATAAACACGGGCTCGCGGCAGCCTGGCGGCGGTGCTACAGGGCCCCACCACCAGGAAGGGCTGGTCAGTGCAAGTGTGGGAAAGAGCAGAGGGTAATGGGAGAAGGGAGGAGACAGGGGGAGCCCATGTAAAGAAATCCACTTCCACAGTGAAAAAGAGAAAGGGAGAGTCGCGCCCCTCACCATGTTTCAGTGGAGAAAGAGTCACCTTGAAAGAGATCAAAAATTTCCTTTCAACTGGATGAAGTGATTCTATCAGGGTTGGGTTTGGGGTGTTTGTATTTGTCATGTCGGAAGAAAATTGCCCATGCAGCCCCCTTGCTGAGGTTATAAAAAGTACTGTCAACCACACTGGACAGAATTTTTTTTGGGGGGGGGGTGCAGAGAGGGGGAAAAAACACATTGTGCAGGATCATTAAGCACTGTTGTATAAATAAAGTTAGAAGATCAAACGAAAGAGGGGACTCGGGTTAAATGCTGGAAGACAAGCTTAAATAAAGTTCTAAGAAAAAAGCAAGGCACGCTGTAATTCCAAGAACCTATTACTTCAGACAATTTACTTCAAAAAATAAAATCAGAATGGTAAATGATTACCCAAAAGCAATCATGTCATCATCACTGAGAGATGGAATAAAATAATTTTTTGTGAAGTGGCTGAATGAGAGCAACTTAAAAGCCACGGAGCCTGTCAGAAGCACATTATTTCTTTTTACACCCCGTTTCCCAATTCATCTCAGTGCTGCTGACTAACCTCGGCTCCCAGCAGGTGGAGCATTTAAAATAAATAGCATTTCCTACAAAACGCGCTCCAACTGCCCCATGACAGACGCTTCCAATTCCCGGCCAGCCACTGGATCAGCTTCAGCGGTATCTAACAAGGTGTAAATACAATAACAAGCATGTAATTAAGTGAGCATGATGAAGTTAATGGAGATAATTCATTCCATTTTGGGCTTATGAATATTCTATTAGATGTTATCAGGCAGCTGGAATAGCTGTTA